ATTAAAATAAAAAATACAAATTCAATAAGCAAGCAAAATCAAAAACTTTCATTCCAAGCTATTTTTTATTTGTCTACTCTCTGATCAATTTTTTAATTCTTATATTCAATCAAAGACAGTACATTAAGCGCCCCCCCTCGACATAATTGCCGTCCACATGTACCATACCCATGCTTTCTGCCTTAAATACACCTAGACCTCTAGGTGTCTAGGCCTCTTGACCACATCTCTACCCTTAAATTATTCATTCTAATAATGAATACACATCCACATCCGCATTGCAGTGAAATCTTCTGCATTCATGCTTAAGAGGTGATATTAGTGGGTTAAAGTCTGACACTGTAGCTTTTGATGCTTTCCATCTACTGCAAAAATAAAATACATTAAGTGTCCAATCCTTAACTAGGCGATATACAATCAAGTAGAATGAAGTAAAATATCAGCTCTGTTAAATCACTTGAATATTTGCAGATAAGATATTTGGCAGATCAAAAAATAGTTAATTCTAAAGCTATATTCGTGACTATATCTCGCTGACTATTTTACACAACTGTTGATCTTTTGATAGTTTGATTTTCTAATCATGAGGAGAAAGTAGGCAACAAACATAATAATGAGCCATTAATAGCACCTCCATCATTAGGGATTGATTTGGGATTGTTTTAGATTTTGTAACATGCTCAAATCCTACCATAACACTTAGGTCAGCATAAAAACAAAATGAAAGTTTATAAAAGAATATCATTTCTAACGGGACACCGCACAATTGAATAGGATGGAGCTGGGTAACCGGTGTGTATAATCTCTTTCATTGGCTTAAAAGGGAGTTATGCCTAAACACCTGTTATGATACTTTTCTAAACCCAAACAAATAGACGCGCTATTGTTCAGATTACTTTACAACCTTGTCAGTGAACAAATCAGTTTAACATTAACTCCTAAAAATAATTAGGAGTTGATATAAAAAATAATTCCATCGTTATAAACAAAAAGCACCACCTCGATGACTAGACCTCGACGTACTAGAACTACGATAAACAGTGCCTATGTCTTTCATTCTTGAAATTTTAGAATATGTCGACTGGAACCTTCCGACACTTTTGTTAATAAGAAAAAAATATCGTGTCTCTAAAAGAAATACAGTACTTTTAAGTCTTTGTGTATTAATTAATTGAACGACATATCTATACACGTCAACAGTTACTTGCAAACTAACTCACCTGATCCAAATGCTTCAAATCCACCTGTGCGCCATTATAAGTCCATGAACCAAATTTCATGAAGCATATCTGTTCATCATATGGGAAATACTCGACATTCATTTCGCAAGATGATTTGTAAATTGCGGGTGGTTCCCAAAATACTTCACCGGTATATTTTAGTGTAGCCTTTGTCATCAACGTGACCTGGAAAATATTTGTTTCATCAATAAGTTTATAAGAAAATATATAAAGCATAGTATTTATCTAAAATTACTTAAATTTTTATATAACTAATTAAATAAATATAAATACATACATATAATTGTCTATACCTCATAATTACCATCCCAGTTGTTGTATAAAACAATATCAGGCACCCATATGTGCTCAGATGGTACATAAAGTTGTTCAACTCCACCATATTCTTCAGGGTTCCAACGTAATTTATAATCAAACCAACGCTTAAAAGGAAAAAAGTATTATTTAATATATTATAATATATGGTAAATATAAATATAGCTTGGAGTTCAAAATTTAATTTACCTGTTTTACCCAGAGATTCGTTGTCATGACTTGATTCTTTAAGTTCACCTCAATCAATTGGGACAATTTCAAACCTAACCAAACAGTTAAGGTTTCTGTGTTATTCACCACTGGACGTATCAGGCGATTATAATTGCTAAGCAAGTCATCGTAGAGGCGTTTTGTATCTGGATTAGCTTCAAAACTTATAGGCGCTGTAAAGAAATTATTTGAATTAAAGTTTAAAACTATTTTTAATCTAAATATGCTAATTGTATTATTTTATTGAAACGATTAAAGTGTGCTGGCAAACAGCTCTGTATGTTTCAATTAATCTCTAATTTAATGTATATGGAAATATACATATTATATATGAACGCAGTGGTTCAAGAGCGAGTAATCTAAGTTCCAGAGCTGCTAATAATCAAAAACTAAATGTTGCTCAATACAACCATTCTGTGCTACAACAACAAGTTGTGTATAGAGTTAGGTGGAGACACCCTTATAATGCACAACATCTATTGAAAGATTTAATATAATATTACTTACAAAAAATTTGCATTTATGTTATATATAGTATATATTGAGTTTAAAGATTTAATAATAATGCATTTAATAAGTATCTATATTATAAGTTAGTAGTGTGCTACTAACCGCCCCTTTTGGACACTATCTTTTAACATCTCTACATTCCACTCATCCAATCTTAAGAAACACTTGTGGATTGTTTACATTCTTTGTAAACATAAACAAATGCTCTGTTGATATTTCTCTTCCAGGACAATAAAATTTAGAGAATGGCTCAGCACACAGCGCAGGCGTTATTTTAAATGTCAAACTTATAAAAAAAAATTCCTGGGTGGATTCTTTGTCAATATTTTTTGGGATACATAAGATTGAAAAACTATAGAATTTTACAAAAACTAGTTTTTTTAAATAATCAGCCTTGCTTACGTGTTGAATTAACGGCCACCACAAAAATTAAAATATAAAAAAAACGTGTGAACCACATTTTGTTCAAAATTTAGCACAAAATAATTTATAAAATTTTTTTTATTTCACAAAAATAAATCACATAATCGCAGTTATTTTATCAAGCACGTCCTTCCTGCTGAGAAGTCAAACTACATCTGTTATGTGATGTAGCCTGCAGCTTCTCACAGGGATGCTGTCACTTATCAGTTGACAGTTTGATTGGAATAGAACTTCCCATAACTGTCAAATACTGTTGATTATTTTAAAGCAACTGTTAATTTAAAAAAACCCCTATGCTCTATTAGGCGTGAGAAACCAAATCGAAAATATTGAATGAAGCAACGATATATGTTACAACGACTTGGAAGTATTAATTTTGCTAAGCGAAACATTTCAGTTCGACATTAATATCGTAATATCGACAACAAGGCATGAAAGAAAAAGGAGTGTAAGGGCATGACAGGATTGACAGGAATAAAGATGGTACCAAAATGAAAATATTGATGGATTCAAGTAACTTCGATGGGAAGAACCTTTCCGCCTTAATAAAGCGCAATCGTAAATAAGCATTTTAAAATTTATTGTACGAAGAAACAATTGAACAATTGAATGTGGTTACATAGTAAAGGACTCCAAAACTCGCATATAGAAATATAGACATTTAGCTATATTAAATAATTGTTAAATATATGATTACATTCTTGTCTTAATTAATGCAGAGTATTTTTTGCTATACTGGACAATTATACAATTTTGTGTATTATGGAATAATATTTTCAACTTAATACATATATTATTTTGTTGCTTAGCTTTTAAGTCAATTAATTATATGTATTCATAGTAATTAAACCGCTTCATTACTTTCAACATCTATGCGTTTTACTCGATAAGAGAATTCGCTTTGGATATTGCTGTGGTTACTGAGGTAACAGAGATTGAGTCCAGTTATGTTTCAGTAACGCATAAGCACTATTTTGTGTCACACATCCAAAATAGATTTAAAGCCGACTTATTTGATTGTTACAAAATGTTATTTATTTCAGGTTTACTATTGGAATATTTACAGGGCTCATTGATTTGTTGACTTGCATACCAGAATCCTTAGGTTGATAGGTTTGTACATTTGCACAATAAATGTTGCAATTATTTTCTCTGCTTTCCTGTACCGTTTGGGTTAAAAAATATGCTCAACTTTTACCTTTGATACTTATCAGCCAGTGACCTATCAAAACTTTCAAAAGTTTCACCGTTTCGTTCTTAGATCCTTGTTTCCATCAATCTGATACTTCAACAATTAACAGAAGAAATCTATACATTTATGTTTTTAACGATTAACTTTAAGTTCCATTTTAATACAACTTTTATTGTAATATTGCAATCATTTATATATTATTAGTATACATAGCATAATTATTATTCAATTTAATTTTTAAGAAAAAATCATGTTAAAATATTTTTAGTGTGATGCTCAAACTGTAAACAGTTTAAAATCTTTTCCATAGTGACTTTAAAATATTGCATTTTTGACTTCAACGGTTGCGCTGGCAACCAATATATAATAACAAATAAATTTTGCTTTAAAATGAAATTATATCAATTCTATAAGTTTATAGTAAAATTTTAATATGCAAAAACTATAATGTCCATCAAATTTTTTTACAATTTTCCGCAAATTGCACGCGAAGCAGGATTTAAATTACATCTCTACAATGATGGCTTCATGGATTGGCGTCACTTAGGTAAAGTTTTAATAAAAAAACATTTTAATAATTAAAATTAATTTTATTGTGTTGAAAAAAAACTTAAAGGCACCATCGAAATAGAACGAGTACTGCGGGAACAAAATTTGGAACAAATAGATGGATTGCTAAATCATCTTTCCGAAGCACCTTTAGGCTCAATATTGAATTCACACATTCTGGATAATGGAATTGCAAAATATTTTATATTCTTACAATTCGCCATTCAATATTTATTATTTTGTCGTAATTTTTTGGATGAAACCGTAGTGGATCTACGAGAAGCCCATGCGAAATCTCAAATTGAACTAGCAAAATTAAAAACTTCACACGCCGATGCAAATAATGAATTACTCCAATTGCAGAAGAAAATAACACAAATGGAAGCAATACACGAAGTTATTTATCCATGTCACCTGTGCACCAAGAATTTTATCAGTAATGAGGCACTTAATTTGCATATCAGTCGTAAGCATTGTAACACTGGAAAGATATTCATAGATAAGAAGAAACCAATGCCTACCACGAAAGACATCGATAATGATATGCAATTAATTAATGCAATTAAATTTGAATTAGAGATAAAACAACTGAAAGAACGTTTGAACGTAGCAGAGAAAGAAATTAGAGAGCGAAAGAAGGAAAACGTTAAAACCAGTGGTGAGGAGCTCATTAAAGAAAATGTTCATGTTCAGATATCGCCAGCTAAAGAAGAACAAGAATCTAAAGTCACAGTCACTCAAAGTATTGGCATTCAAAGTAATTTAATTGAAGTGAAAGAAGCAGATGATACATCTGTTATAAGCGACACCGAAGTAAGAGAGCAAATAGAACAACTACGAGATCTGCAATTAAAAATACAAGATATTGAGACTTGGCGTGAAGAACATAATTCTAACAATGAAGATTGCATAGCTGAGATCAATGAGAAACTAGCAGATATAGTACAAACAATAGGGAAATCAATTACCAATTTAGATACTATTGAAGAAAAATCAAATTCTAGACAAGAACAAAACTCACCGACCGTAGAAGACTTAGAACGGTTACTAAGTCAAAAAATGGAAGAAATTAGTATGGTAAGTGTTCAAAAAATAGAAGAGG